GCAATAGTATGTAGAGTGAAACCGGATAATAATATAAGCATTTGTGCAATAATAATTAAGAATGATGTTATGAAAGTCACGATTAATTGCAATGTCAAGCCTTACTTTGAGACTTTGATGGTGTGTTTTTTGATTCAAAATGACCCTATCAAACATGTACTAGTCACATAGGTGCTGTTTGTGCACTTTTATTCATCTTTGTTCCCGCATTATCGCCTGTTTCCCACCACTTGCTATAGCTACATAGGAACCACTTGGGACGGTGACAGTTTTATCCGGGACTTCAGGTGCTACTTTAGAATCGCCACCACTAAAGTCCGGTAGCATTCACCCTTCAACTGTTTCAAAGATATCTTCCGTTTTGCATGTTCCTCAGTCAGTCTGAGACAACTGCACACAACGAATAACTTTGTGCTCAATTGTTCACTTTATTCCAGTTAAGATACCATCTTTATGCATTGTTCCAGTTCTAGCTACCAATGTGTTCTCGATAGATTCCAAAGTATGTACTGAAAACCAGTATCAATGCTTGTACTAATAACAATCTACTTATGTTTGCAAAACTTTGAAGTACATTTTAAAAGCACCATGGACTTATACATGTATGATAGTTCGAATTAACGTGTTGACCAAGAATACCAAAAATAATGCAGTTTAAGGGAGGTAGAACTAGATGAGCACAGATCAGTCTTCATTCGGAAAATAAAGGAGGCTGGGTGACCTGTTTCGGTAACTTAAGTAATTTCGTCTGAGATTGTGAGTGCTTTCACAGTGTTTTCATAGATCCTGTGTTTTAAAAGACAAGAGAAGTAAGGTTATATCAAATACTCACTAAGTAATTTAAATCCGTGATCAAGTCCTTCTGGTTTTCCGATGCGACGATGGAAATAGGTTTAGTCTAGCCAGTAGAGCGTCATGCGGAAGCTTTTCCATTTCGGGAAACAACTTAGATGCCGTTCATTGAACCTTTTTTGACATTTCACTGTCTCTTTTCGGGCAGGGGTTAGCTGCTTGTATGTAGTACTGCAGTTTAGGAGTCAAAAACGTTTATTCATCGATACGTCTAAGGGCTCTACGTATGATCATAGGGTTCTAAAACCTTCGTTAGCTTTGAACGACGGTGTGCAGTAGTTTTTAGGTCTTGGCGAACGAACGCCCCTAACGTAGTTGTGCATGGACAAGAGGTAGCTCAATGTTATTCATCATATGTGTATCTGTACCGTTGGGACCAGTATTCATCACAATGAACTTGAAAGCATTTATCTACAATTGTCAAATTTTGGGCTGTTCATATATCTTATCTAGGTCGTTTTAAAGCTCTAAACTATCACTTACTATTACTTTTACTTATAAATTGGACAGCCGAAATATTCCTTCTTCCGTAGAAGTAAAACTTAAATGTGATTGGTGTGAAAATGGGTTCCATAAGATGTGTACCCGTTTAAATCCCACTGTATACAAGAGGTCCCAAAAACCAGACTCCCGTTAGCCCTGTATATTTTACTGTACGGATAAGACGCTAGTGATCCAGGAGGCTATGGACTTCTTGGTTTTGGCTTTTACGAAGAAGGATGGTGGTTGCCCCGGTGACACGAGTAATAATAATAATAATTTATTCTCAAATAACATTTTGTTACATGAGGCATGCCGGTTCACAGGCAAGATCAAATTGTTACAAATGATACAAATTCCAACTGCAGTAAATTACTCAGCTGGGTCGATAATTTATAAGTACTGGCAACGAAGGATGTATCGGTGTAGTATACGCTGTTACGGGACGTGCCAAACACCCAACTGTGATTGGGGGAAAGCAGTCTCCTCTGAAACTGGAAAAACGTGAAATGCCGATTGATAATAGTAGTCATGCTTCTACCATAGAAATTTGGGACTTGGATGAATCCGTCACCGTTTCTACCAGTCGTGATTTAGCATTTCAGAGTGTAAGCAAAAAGGCACAAATGGTGCTCACTTGCTTGTCGAGTCATTAGTGAACATTCGTTTTGAATCACAAAACACACTACTAAAGTTTGAAAGTAAGACAAAACTCCGCCCTAGATTGGCTGAGATAAAATTAATCTCATCGAATATTATTGTGAATAATTTGTTAGAATCAAACAACCATAATTCCAAAATTAGACACGCACGTGATTTGGAAAAGGTCGGAGTACTTATTCCGGACGGTCACACACACGTTACATGTTGTCGAGGATTCTGGATATCGTTATTTGCCAGCTATTAACAACATTTTTCTGTCACACGTCAATATTCGTAATGTTTGTGCTTCTTAAATAAGTTTTATTCCTGTTAATCAGTAGTTTGGTGTATTTTTTGCTCACAGCCTGGGTGGAGGTTTAGTTAGTCCATTCCGATTATTTGTGACAATACAAACTAGAGCAAGTGAAATTCACGATTTATCAAGTCAAAAATAGACCGCAACTTATATACACAACGCAACATTCCAGCGAAACTTTTAAATTAACACAGTAATACAAGTTTTTGTAAGGAAACGGGTACTTATAGAGCAAACACTTAAATGTTTTTAATTTGCACAAACAGTTACCCGTTAATACTACGAAGCCAAAAATAAAAATTGTGAAAACGTTTGTTGTTGCATCGTTACTACTGGTACAGGAAGAGCAAAAATTGATGCAGACGAATCAGTTCACAAGTTGGATATATAGTTAAGTTAAAAATACTACTACAAAGAAATTCTTATAATAAACAGTTCCTGTCAGGTTTCCACACTTTGTTGTATTCCCATTCATATCTTCTATCGTATAGAATACTACACAAAGACAAGAGTTAGAGAAACTAAAGTCTTACCTACTTATTGATGATTCATAAGTAAAAATTGGCTTTGTTGAACCTGTACATAGTGTTTGCTTCGTCTGGGCAGTGAAATTGCTGTTATTATGAAAGATGTCAGTGTTATCTATCGTCCATCGACTACAATATCTAAGGATATGATGAACTATACAGTTTAAATTTCATATTTGACCGTGTTTATTTGTAAGAGCTCGTTTTATGTATGCTAGTTTCATATGACAGCAAGGACACCGGCATGTCAAAATTTGTCCACGATCTGTTCGCAATACTTTTTACTTTCGGGCACACAGGACAGGACGACCTCGACCAAAACTATGCGCAAAATATACCCAAACCTGACGAAATTTCCCCCAAAATGAGGAAGATTGTAATGTTACGAAGCAACAATCGATCCATTGTGTGCACTACATGACAGAGAGTGGTAAATCAATGTTCTTCCAATGATTTTGTGATTTTGCTGCAGCAAAATACCAATTAAACATGAGAACACATGATATTCGTGCAACTCAAAGTCACCGAACAAACCCATAGCATCTGAAACACGGAATGATCATCTCTCGTTTGGCTGTTCAAGGTCGTTTCAACGCAACAGCGTGCGGCTTTGAAAGGATCTAACATTTTACCGTGCCCATTTATTCGTAGCATATTATCACATAGCTGTAAAGAAGTTCAGGTCAAAAAATTGATAAGAGAAAGCGAATGGCAGATGAAAGTGTTGAAGCTTGATCATGCATATACCTTAAGATAATCATAAGGTGTGAGAAACGATGAGATCTTTCGTTAAGTAGCACTCGTAGTCACGACATTACCGACATTGAGGTAAGACCTGATATGTTCCTAGAACATAGGGTAAAAAAATATGGGACTAGCTGAACTGGAAACCCGTCGGCAAAGTGGCAAGGAAAATCCCCCGCCTAGAGGGTTTTCGAATAGTCATGTTGTGAAAGCGGATGCCACCAACGCCTATGTTGATATGTCGTTCTCCCTAGTAGTTTTGTATGTAAATTCTCGTAGTCTAAGAAATAACTGACGATTCATGGGAATTGGTGGTCGAATTAACGCCACTCTGTGTAGTTGTGACAGAAACTTGGTCCACGACTTCGACATTACTCCAGAATTATCCGGATACTGCTACCCGGGAACTAATGGACATAGATGTAGAAAAAGACGTAGGATCCTTTTATATATAGCCAATAACACAAATAGCCACTCTTTTGCTTACGAATCCCATGAGAGTGAGCCCACTGTCGGATGTTATACAATTAATGAGTATCAATTGGAATTTTCAGAATTTTTTGAAATAAAACTCTAGGGATGTATGATATGACATTTGTATAGAAACCAGGTGTTTATCTATTTAAGATTCGTCCATTTAGGATTTATCAATCTGTAGTGAAAATATGAACTAATTACAAAAAGATTAATTCTGGCTATTGGAATTATGGTGTGTGCTACTTATATCGACATAAGTAGTATATAACGCTAGTCAGGAATAGAATGTCTGACAGCATAAAGTTGAAAAGATCAAGAAGGAAAGAATGGGAACAGAAAACAATTGATACAGAAATGCAGGAACAATGAAATCTGAAACAATTAATGAACACTTTACAAATGAAGTATTGGAGTATGAATTTTTCTAAATTTTATCAAGTAACTCTATAATTTTGTGCTATTTATAATCGATTGTCTTCACCTGTGTTCTTTTTTACTACAGAATGTTAGTTAAATTAACTAAATGTAAAATTTAGATCTGAAAAGTCACAGATTTATCACATGATAGTGAACAAAGAATTAATATGGTTAAACAATTTAAAATATTGTACAAAAATTTAATTGTAACATTGTAATATATAAAAATTATACATCAAATACATTTGAATATCCTCGTTTAGTTCTCTTTTTACATAGTTTATGAAATGTTTGAATCTGTTGTTATTTAGTTTGCTCTTTGTTTCTTTAATTTATCTTATCATTCATTCACTATTCTGACAAGAATCTATCCAATATCTTACTTAATATTTATCATGTTTGTACAAATAAATAAAGAATAGGTAAATTTCTCTAGAAGCATTAAACTTCTCTAAACATATAGAAGATAAATGAATAAATAAGCATAATCCATTGTAAATCAATATTGTGCTAATAAACAAATTATTTGATAATAAGCATGAAAGTTATAATAAACCACGTAATATATTAAAAAGGATAATAAAATTAATAATAAATAGTGTTGCTAACATCAATAAGATTATATGTGAACTATCTAACATATAGAGAACTTTAGAAAACATATTGATTAATAGAATACTCAATGTTTTATTAGTTTGATTTCCTTGAACAATATTTGTACTGGGTATATGTTTTGATAAATTGTTGTTTATGATTTCCTTTGTAAGATTTTTACATTTATCTCTTCTGATTGAGGGTTTTGTTAAACGTATGGAATTTTTATTCGGATTAGTTTGAACATTGTTCTGAATAGGACAATTTACAGTATCCTAGAAAAAAAGAGACAATGTGAATATATCATACATACATTTAAAAGAAGATATGGTTAATAAACAATACACCATTTGGTGTGGTTGTAAATCTGACTTATTGTTTTCCGGTTAACGTTTTTTAACGAGTGTGATAAAACTAGAAATAAAGGTTCACGACATAGTGTGTTGGAGAATGTTGGACAGTGGCTCAAGGTACATTCACAGTAACAGGCAAAAGTAATTAACTAATGGTTGTAAATCTGTGAGAGAAAGCAGCGTGTCCACTACATGTTCTCTATTGAATCCCTGTTTGAGTACTACTTTGATGAAGATTTGTGGAAGGCTATTTATTTCACAGGATAGTAAGTGGAATTTGGATAGATGATATGCTATTATGTCTGTCAACTGTAGAGTTTATCTTTGTGAACTGACTGTTGAGTGAATAGAGAATTGAAGAATGAAAATGATTGTAAATATAAATTGATTTTTCGTTTGTGTACTAAACATTTGGACTGAAGACGTGATGGAAGTTTTTGAATACATAGAAATGCAATTACCGTGTCAAGGTCAGTAGTGTTGGTCGGGCGTACAACAGATTGAGTCAGAGACACTAATCTATAAAGTAGATATTAGATCAATTTCGAGGTAGCATTCTGAGTAATGATTCGTCACATGATATTGGTCAGCAGGTTTCAAGATATCACAGTATTCTTACAAGCAATTCGAAGCACCTAAACGTCGTCAACTTCTTTGTTTGAACTACATGATTCAATCAAACCAACTGGATGAAATGCACCACGACTATAAGATTTAGCCAAAGTTAATAAGTCGTGTCTTTCTCTCCGTCCACTTTTATGTGTGTACATTTGCTCATAGATTAATCCGTCAATTTTTTAATCACACGAATTGTCTGCACGCCAATCATTTTCTTCAGATATTTCTAAGCCGACCAGCAAATATTACAACTATGGTTGTTTTCTGGAAGCATAAATGATCTCTATGATGAAATTGAGTGAAAAGTTATACCGATTTAGCCATAAAAAGGATAAAGTCGCACAGATTCTTTGTTGTAAGGGATATTGAAGTGAAACAACGAAGATTCTCTGTAAAGACTGATATAAAGCATGGATACATAAATTTTTATGCAGAGTCAGTAAGTTATTCGTATTCCAGTAGAATCACATATAAGCTAACAATGTGAATAAAATAATTTGAAAGAATAACATAATGCTTAATGGCATAATAGAGTAAAAGTCGAATCTCTTACCTGTATATTACACTCTCCTTTATTCCACATTCTCTCATAACTATCATAGGTATTAGTACAGCTTTTTGTTCTTGGACACCAATAACATTTTGTAGTGAATGCACCTGGTCTGAGGCATTCACTGCACGATGTTTGATCCGAGCAAACTAGAACATGAAGAGAAAACATGTGATAGTGAAGGTTTTTCTAAAGAACACTTATTACAATAGTGTCAATGTAAACTACATGAATTATTTGGGCGACCTGGCAAGTAACGTGACCTACTGTTCTATCTCACTTAGTAATAGACATTTTCAAATATATCAGTTTACTTAATAATCGTTCTCTTTAATTAACAAACTGTTTCTCAACAATATTAGTACTAAACGCTTGTTGATTAATTCAGTGATAAAGACAACTAAACTTGTTGCTAGTATTCTAAATCTAAGATAGAGGTGTATCACAGTACTAAATTAACTGTTAACAGTCAGTTTACATTCTCTGAAGCACAGGTATTTGAGTTGTTTAGTCGACATTGTAAAAAAATCATTGAATATAAAATGTAACATGTTCACATTCATTGATAGTTAATTCAAACAGTTGTCAAGAATGAATTTCTCAATTGGTTATCTAGTAAAACGAAGTGAATATAATCACATATAATTGTTAGAAGTTAAGTTTCCTTAGAAAGTTTTATTTTTTTGAAAAAATAGGTGAGTGAAATTTCTGTTACTGGCAAAATTGATCTTATTTCATTGCTCGGTTGACAGTAAGTAGTTATTTCATTTACAAATATATACGAAATTAGACACAATCAACCGAGACGTGTGATGATATCATTGGATAACCAAGGATGTCGCTATCATCCAGAAGAATATATACGCAGTATTTACCACATTGCCTAGTTGAATGTTTAGTGTTTTATTAACTTGAATTACTTGAACAATATTCATACCGGGTATGTGTTTTGATGAATTCTTGTCTATGATTTCCTGTGTGAGATTTGTAAATTGACTTCCTGTGATCGAAGTTGTTGGTAGAAGTGTGGTATTTTGAATCGGATTAGTTTGAACATTGTTCTGAACAGGACAATTTGCAGTATCCTAGAAAAAGAGACAATGTGAATATATCATACATACATTTGAAAGAAGATATGGTTAATAAACAATACACCATTCGGTGTGGTTGTAAATCTGTGAGAGAAAGCAGCGTGTCCACTATGTGTTCTGTATTGAATCCCTGTTTGAGTACTACTTTGATGAAGATTTGTGGAAGGTTATTTATTTCACAGGATAGTAAGTGGAATTTGGATAGATGATATGCTATTATGTCTATCAACTGTAGAGTTTATCTTTGTGAACTGACTGTTGAGTGAATAGAGAATTGAAGAATGAAAATGATTGTAAATATAACTTGATTGTGGTGCTTGTGCTGAGAATGTGGTCTTAAAAGAAGATGGAAGTTACTAAATGGAAGCGACTAACTCAGAGAATATCACACTTTAGAAATTCTCATTCTGATTTGCAAATAGTCAGTATCGTATTGGAAGTGAATTGATACAAACTATTTTAATTTCGTATAACAAATAAATCTTAGTAATTCCTAAGCATATGTTGTGATGGAACGAATATTGTAGGAGTTTGAACTGGTTACTAGAATTACTATTCATTGTAGTTTTGTTGTATAGTTACTGAGTAACTACTAGATTACAATGTATGCATATTCCTTTTATCAAAATGTTGTGGTTGCCTGATTAACTACTGTTATACAGATAAGTAGCATGCTTCCAGGAACTCTCGAATAGACCAACTCCATTAAATCGATCGAACATCGAAGCGTCACACACACAGACCTTCCTATAGATGTCGCTGCATCAATGATCGAAGAAATAAGGTTTACCGGTCGTTAGACAAATCAAGTGTGGGAAATTAGTAGCAGCTGATACTTTACCAACTGAAGGAATGAAGTCACACTTACAAGTAACTGCTAACGTGCTCCGCATTCTATACAAGAATATTTGGATGCAAGAACAAGTACCACTGATAGAATGAAAAGAAGGGAACCTCATCAACATACCGAACAAAGATGAGCTGAGCAAGTGTGAGAACTACAGAGGAATCACACTACTATTACTTCCAGGAAAGGTTTCCAGCAGAACGTCGCTGAAGCGGAGGAAAGTCTAAGTAGACGCCCTACTTCGAGATCAACAGGCTGTATTGCTTAAGGATCGGTCGGGCACTGATAGAATTTAGACACTGTGAATCATTGTTGAGCAATCAAATGAATAGAAATCGTCAATGTACATCAATTTTCTTGACCATGAGAAGGCGTTTGACAGTGTGAATAGGAAAACATTATGGAAACTTATTCGACACCATGGAGTGAGTACTTGAGAGGATCGTGAACATTATTCGAAATTCACACGACGGATTACGGTGCGAAGTGGTGCATGGAGGACAGCTGACAGACGCATTCCGAATGAGGACAGTAGTTAGATAAGACTGGTTACCCTCTTTCTCTCTCTCTCGTCTTTCTCTTTCTTCTGGTGTTAAACTGTATAATGTAAACCTTCACATCTGAGAGAACGAAAGGAACACAATGAACAGCTCCGAGTCAACTACAAGATTTAGACTTCACTGACCACCTAGCCCTTCTATCTCATATGCCTAATTAACTACTTTTGTATAATGCAAACATTTCAATATGATAGAATTTACTAATGAATAATTGTATGATTCACTAAATGTTGAATGTTTTACCTGTATTTGACACTGTCCTTTCCTCCACATTCTCTCATATTTATCATGGCTATTAGTACAGTTTTTTGTTCTTGGACACCAATAACATTTTGTAATGAATGCACCTGGTCTGAGGCATTCACTGCATGATGTTTGATCCGAGCAAACTTGAACATGAAAAAAAATTAAATGTGTTGATGAAGGTTTATTCTTAAAGAACATTTATTACAATAGTGTTAATGTAAGCTACATGAATTATTTACAAGCTCTCATAGTTCTTTTAAACTGGTACTTTGTCATTGAGTGTTAAATGCACCTTTAATTCCTATGTTGTTTTTATGTATTTTTTTTTAACTTTTTTTAATTTCAACTCATCTCTTTAATTTTTCAACATTTGAGATCATGAATCAATTGAAGCTAGACCAACATGGTAAACTTAAAAGCACTAGATGGCCGTTTCATTCTATCGTAGGACTCTTCAGATGTGCGCATCCACGTTCCCGTCTCGCGAGATTCAAACCCAGAACCTATCAGTCTTGTGCGCGAGCGCTTAACCATAAGACCACTGAGCCGATATCTAATGGTGTAAATGTCTAACTTCAACTAATCCACGAAATTGAGCGACACATCGATCATTGTCTTCAGTGAGTTACTATCTCACAACAAATCTGATTGAACTCCACTATTCATTGCTTCTCACTAGAACTACAGGATATACCTGTTGAAGCCAGTTACTAGTGAGTATATGTGGATTATTGTCTAATTTTTTTTTTATCAATTTTCTTATATTGAGTTTATTTAATATCATCCTTGTTTTATACTCTTTTATAACCTAACTATTATATTCATTCACAAGATGTAATTTAATATTGAACTATTTTTACGATCTTATCTGAGATAGTCTTGTGTTACTGAATAAATAAGAAGATTGTTCAGTAAATGAAATTTGTTTTTCACCAATTTCATTTACTTATAATGTATAATCTTACAGCTGTCTAGTAAAAATGTGGTAAGTTATGGATAATTGTCCCTTAAATAGCTATTAAGATGTTCGTTGATTTTGACCAACGTGGGAGTTTAACCTACGCACAATTTCGAATTACAGGGCTACTGGATCGCTTTTATTAGACATCTTGAATGTTTATTTTTCAGAATTTTTACTTCCGTATCACTTTCAAACTAGATGTTCATAAAGAGAGTCTTCTTTGCTGCTGTGGACACTCAATCACGTTGTTGTTTTGGCTTCAAATCTTTTTTTTTTTACAATGAATCTAGGTGGATAGTCAGTATTGATCAGTGTCTAACTTAGTTTATCAATTTCGATATCGATCGTATCTTCGGTACAGATACGTTTAACTCATGTACAGAGAAAATGTAACATGTCTCTTTTCTTTCAGTGGGACCTAACTTTTAAAATTTGTGTACTAACCATTTCTTTATTGGCTTCTTCTATTTAGATCTTTTCAGAGAACCGTCAGATCTTTTAACCAAAACATCTAAGAAGTGGAATTCTGAATCTGACTCTGATTCAATCATGAACTTAATTAATAAATGACAGTTATCAAACACATTCAGGATGTCGTTTACAAGGATATCTTTGTCACAATAGTGTCGTCTTAGTAATTCTTGTTTAGATAGAAGCTGTCAATTGATGACCTTAGTATATTGTTTTAGAGATTAGCTATAAAACAATCAGCTAAAAGTGGCTCGAGGTTTGACCCTATCACTATGCCGTCAGTTTATTTATAAAACTGATTGTGGTATTAGGGTTATTATTAATAAGAAATTTCAGTAATATATTTATCATGATATGAAACCCTCAGCACAAAAATGATTCAAATAGACGATAATTACATACATGTGTATATGAAGTAAGTAAATGAACTGTCTAGAATTGAACGTTATTTTAATAAGGCAAAAGTCTGTATAACTTTTAAATTAAAACCTGTTTGAGAATATAGACTATTGTCTAGTTCAACTCTTACAATCTGTTCTTCACGTAGTATGTTTACAATATAAAGTATTATAGAGGTTTTATACTTTAGCTTGTATGCATAGATTCTAATGTATATTGACATCTCATTCTACTAGAAGTTATACAAGAAGAAAGACATAAATAAAGTTGAGGGTTGATATCTGACAATACCTGGTAACAGTTTTCAAGATTTTAAATATCTATCCATAACTATATTATGAATGATCTTAAAAGAATTGTGACACACTTTGCTAACTACTTTTAGCACTCTTTATAATACAGAAAAATCTTATTTTAAAAGCCTGAGAAAGGATAATAGATAATAGTAAAGTATAATGGATAATGTTCAAGAATCGACAAATCATAAAGGTAAATCAAATGATGGAGAAGATTTGTAGCTCAGGTGGATGATTTTGATAGAGTTTTGTTCTCTGAGCTGGATGGTTTGGTCGTGGAGCTTTCATCGTTCTTCTGAACGATATCATCAGCATAAACTTCAGATAGAAGTTTGGAAAACCGTGCACATCATACCACGTTATAAATCTGGAGATAAGACTGACATGAACAATTATCGGTCAATAAATATTACTTCAGTAATCTCTAGGATTATGGAAAAAATTGGAAGTGATGAACTTTTTAACTATTTATTGGTTGGAAAATTTATCAATGATACTCAACATGGATTTCTAAAAAATCGATCTTGCATGACATGTCATTTCGACTTCTTTAATTTAGTCTATTCTCTATGTAACCAAGGATATCTAGTCTTAGTGCTATATCTGAACATTTCTAAAGCTTTTGACATGATTAGCCACCAACTTCTTATTGGCAAACTTGCATCTTATGGAGTTCAAAATCGTTTGCTAGCTTGGTTTGATTCACTTCTCAGAAATCGACATCAATTAGTTAAAATTAACTCTTCGTTGTTTAACGGTGTCCCTGTTAGAAGTGGTGTAATACAAGGTAGTGTCTTAGGCCCTTTTCTCATTTTAGTGTTTATTAATGACATTTGTGAAAATTTTTGTGTAGGTAAGCCCTTTCTATATGCAGATGACCTTAAACTAGTATATTCATTTTCTCCACATGAGCTGGAAAATATGCAAAATTGCATCAACTTGGAGCTAAACAAGATAGCACAGTGGTGCTTAAAATGGCAACTGGAACTTAATACGGCTAAATGTGGATGGATATGCTTCGGCGATACATCACTTAACTTAGACCTTACCATAAATGGAGAAGTGTTATCAAGGTTACATACAGTAGTAGACTTAGGACTTAGATACTCCCAAGTCTTATCGCTTACAGAAGAGATATTCAAACAGACCTCCAAGTCAAAACATATAGTAGGTTACATAATTCGAAACCTTCATAACAATGAGTCACCTATTTTAATGTACAAAGTTTGTGTTCGACCTTTTCTAGAATATTGCACGTTTATTTTTAGTAGTGCGCTCATAAAGGATAAATTAAGGTTGGAATCAGTACAGAGACGATTTACACTTCGTATTCTTGGAGTTGATTGTACCTTAACTTATAATTCTAGATGTAAAAAACTAGTGCTAGACCCTTTATGGAAGAGGAGACTCAAACTAAATCTTATTTTTTTCTTCAAACTACTTAATAAACTATCCTTTACATTCAATCACGTGATTCAATACTCAGAAACTCCTCATTATGAAACCCGTAATTCCTTGGCACTTGTGAAACAAAATTATTCTAAATCATCTCTTTATATGAATTACTTTACCTGTACATTTTCTACACTCTGGAATAATCTACCACAATCTATCCATATGGATAAAATCACTTCCATTATTTGTACGTTGCATTGATGCATACTGCTCCTCTGAAAATGGATTGAATGCTCTAGCACCTGCAAGTGTATCTCACTCCACAAGTGTTATTATAGGAAGTTTAAATGTTTAGCCATGTTTATTAGTGCATTCCCTAAACAAAACCACCTACTTGCTGTCACTTAACGTTAACACTGTCCCCAGCTAGTTTAACTAATTTGAATAACATCAACAGTATATCACAGTGTCACATGACATACGCATTTTGATAGATATTTCGGTAATTACTGTTTTGTTGTTCTGTGCTGTCTGTTTTCATGTTTATTTCTCTAGTTGTAGATATTTATCATTAAATCAATCTGATACATGAAATCACCTTAATTACACCGTTCATAAAACAACAGACTGTTCATTTAAGAGAAAAATTAAAATTTCCCAAACTGATGTATTGGATCGCCTGTAATACCTAAACAATTACTGAACTAGTACACCTTAAAACTCCTATCACATGTTTGATCTATACATATAATGATATGATTTATATCAAATTGATCATACCTGTAAACTGAAGTAAATTCTGTAATGATTATTTTTTCATAATATAAAATTATTATTATTATTACTATTATTTTTAATATTATTATTATCCTTATTATTATTATTACTATTACTATTATTACTATTACTTTCATTATTATTATTATTACTATTATTATTATTACTATTATTTTTAATATTATTATTATCCTTATTATTATTATTACTATTACTATTATTACTATTACTTTCATTATTATTATTATTACTATTATTATTATTACTATTACTTTTATTATCATTATTACTATTATTATTAATATCACCATTATTATTATTACTATTATTATTATTACTATTACTTTTATTATTATTATTAGTATTATTATTAATATCACCATTATTATTATTACTATTACTATTATTTTTAATATTATTATTACCCTTGTTATTATTATTACTATTATTATTATTACTATTACTTTTATTATCATTATTACTATTATTATTAATATCACCATTATTATTATTACTATTATTATTATTACTATTACTTTCATTATTATCATTACTATTATTATTAATATCACCATTATTATTATTATTACTATTACTATTATTTTTAATATTATTATTACCCTTATTATTATTATTACTATTATTATTACTATTACTTTTATTATTATTATTACTATCATTATTAATATCACCATTATTATTATTATTACTATTACTATTATTTTTAATATTATTATTACCCTTATTATTATTATTACTATTACTATTATTATTATTATTTTTATTATGATTATTCATTACATTTTGTTCACCTAGTGATAAAAAACAATCTACAATCATATAATTGAAAATCAATAATTCATTTTAAATTCACTTACTTGGATCTGGTATAAATTCCATTAAAGTATTTGACTTGATTAAAAATGCAGGAACTTTAATTGCAGTATTTTTATAATAAGGTGAATAGGCATAATCTATAATTTAAAAAAAAGAAAGAAGTCAAACAATCCATATGAATAATTACAGTTTTATAAAAAGGAATTCAAAAGAAAATAGTTGAATAATTAATTGTAAAGTGTTAATAAATAAATTTTTTTATAGTTGAATTATATCATTTTGTATATCATCATAGATTGACAAAGTAAGAGTAGTATATTTACAACTGATGAACATTTGGAACTTCAAAACAATTGGCAACCAACATCAAAGTTAGAATTTTCAATACAAATGTCAAAACAGTCACTTCTACTGTATGGGGTGGAGACATGGAAAACTACGAAAGCCGTCATCCAAAAGATACAGGTATTTATTAACAGTTGTCTACACAAAATACTTCAGATCCGTTGGCTGGACACTATTAACAACAACCTACTGTGGGAGAGAACAAATCACATCCCAGTGGAGGAAGAAATCAGGAAGAAACACTGGAAGTGAATAGGATACACATTGAGGAAAGCACTCAACTGCGTCACAAGACAATCCCTCACATAGAATCCTAAAGGCCGAATGAAGAGGAGAGGAAGACCAAAGAACATATTACGCCGAGAAATGGAAATACACATGAGAAAAATAAACAAGAATTGGATGGAACTAGAAAAGAAGACCCAGGACAGAGTGGGTTGGAGAATACTGGTCGGCGACCTATGCTCCATTAGGAGTAACAGGCGTAATTAATATCATCAGTTAGATATTTTTGGCAACTATCATATGTATATCAAACAAATTGGTAATAGACGGTATAGGACAGACATGAATGTAGGACTACTGATGAAAGGCATATACTTTCAAATAAGAGTAACACGTGTGCGTAAGGAAGTAAAGTAATCATATTCAAGTCTTTTATATAATATACCATTTGATATAATAAGATACAAATAAAATTAGGTAGAACTGTAGTGAACAAGAATACCAATGGGAACAATCGTATGTATTAAACAGCAAATTACAGCACTTGTTAATAAAATCTAACAACCATATAGTGAATTCTTAATTTGCAAAATAACAATCTATCATATCAAACTTGACTGTCCCTGTTGCAAACATCAATCCATTGTCTCAGATTTCATTGTTTATGCATTTTCATACAAATTCCATTATGTTTCCGCTCTTCCTTTTTTCAACTTCCCCCATCTTCTGCTGCCAGGCATTACGTTTTTAACTCGCGTTATATACTACTTATGTCTACATAAGTAGCACACATCACGATATCAATCATAATGAAATAAGAAAATTATTCTATAGTATACAGATGAATAAGTTTAATATGGAAATTCAATAGGCAATATTACATAACTGACTATTTTGTCATATAAGATGATTGAAAATATATTTAACTGATATTGATTTATACATGTACATTTTTAGCTGATAAGTTCAAAATAGAATGAAACATGCATCAAATTGGATCCTATTGTTAACCACTATTCATCTGTGCTGATAAAGTTTTGTGGCTTAAGGCAATATCGAGAAAGTCCGAATAGGATGCATATGTGGTGTGTGCTACTTATGTAGACATAAGTAGTATATGACGTGAGTACTAAACAGAATATCTGGCAGTAGAGAGACGAGAAGATCGAACAATAAAGAATGATTTCAATCATTAAGATCATGAATCAGTTGAAGCTACACCACCATGGAAAACCTGGAAGCACTGGGCGGCCGTTTCGGCCTATTGTGGGAATCCTCAGCAGTGCGCATACACGACCTCCACCCCTACGAGATTCGAACCCAGGACCTACTGGTTTCGCGCGCGAGCACTTAACCACTGGACCACTGAGCCGTCATCCAACGGTGTTCATGTCTAACTTCAACTAATCCACGAAATTGAGCGACACATCCACCATTGTCTTCAGTGAGTTACTATCCCACAACAGACCTGGTTGAACTCCACTGGTCACTACTTCTCACTAGAACTCCAGGATATACCTCTTGAAGCCAGTCGGATCTCGCAGTTGTTAAACAACAATAATAAGAAAATATAAGTAAATCAGATCATGTAAATTTTATTCTTTAATACTTCGATAATGATTTGTAACTTTTATTGTATACATATAAATATAAAGTCGTGACCAGTGGAGCTAATCCGTGTCGGGTAGAGACAGGTATCTACCTCAGTACAATGGAAGATGGTCGCGCAATTTCGTGGATTGGTTGATGTTAGACACTAACAACATTGGATGTCGGCTCAGTGGTCGAGTAGGTTAAGTGTTCGCGCGCGAGACTGAAGGCCCTGGGTTCGAATCCTACGAGCGGGATCATGGGTGCGCACTGCTGAGGAGTCCCATACTAGGACGAAACGGCCGTCCAGGGCTTCCAGCTTTCCAACGGTGGTCTAACATCTGTCGATTCATGATCTCAATCAAAAAATACAAAGGTTTCGAAGGAATTTGTTCACATTTCATATACTTCAAGTTATATAATGCATTTAATATAAAGCATTGAATAAAATTATTATCAGTATTCCAACGTTAAAATTCAACCTACTTTGAATTTTCATTGGATAATATATAATACTTCCAGGCATAGATTCTTCTGTTTCGTTAAATATTCCATTTGGTATCTGATAAATACCATATAGATATGTATATATAAACAATGAATTATATGTAGTCAATTGGTAAGTGAATACTTCAACACAAATGAATGATCAATGACTTAGTAGAATGAGTATTGAACGTTTAAAATAGAAAATAGCATGCTTTACATTGATTAATTGGAAATATGTTTAGCCTTGTTCGTATAGAACTAAATATTTCATTTTCATAGTTGAATTCATCAATCGATTTTAGCTAGACTACCATGGTAAACCTGAAAACGTTGATCGGCCGCTTCATCCTAATATTGAAATCCTCAGTAATACTCATCCACGATCCAAATCGTGAGATTCAAACCCAAGACATTCGGTCTTGCGCGTGAACGCTTAACCTCTAGACCAATGAGCCGACATCCAAAGGTGTTATTGTTTAGCTTCAACTAATGACGAAATTGCTACACTGTCCATTATTGTCTTCAGAGAGTAACTGCGTCAAGCGAAACTGAATTTCCTGAGTTTGAATCCCGCTTTAGAGATCATGGATGCATAATACTGAGGAGACTCATACTAGAATAAAACGGCCGTCCAGGTTTTTCCAGGTTTTCCATGTTGGTCTAGCTTCAATTGACTCATGATCTCAATTATTGTAATTACTATAATCTCCACAAAACCCCTTCTGATTCTAAACTGATTTAAATCAATTGTGGTATGTGCTACTGATCTCAACAAATATAAGTAGTATATATCGCCAGACGAAAGTGAAATACCTGACTGTAGAAAGTTATGAAGTTTAAAAAAAAAAAAGAAAACGAGATCAGATAATGATTAGTGTGGAAACGAAAGAACCATCCAGTCTGAGACGAGTGATTGACACTACACAAAATAAAGTAATTATTGTATGATCTTCAAATTTTACTTAAAAACATTCTACAAATTTCGTTTTCAAATACATTTGATTGTTCCCCCTTTGTGTTTTTGTTCACTACACAATTACCATAAAGATAGAAAACTCTGTAATTTATATAATGTAATGACTTTAACTGGACAATGACTTGAATATCTAAGAGTAACTGAAACTTGTTTCATTCTTTTTCTTTAGTAATTTGTAGTTAAAACACTTTCAGAAATCAGATCAAGAGGATCAAACATCTTTGCTGAATGATACACTTTAAGATCATGAAATTGTTATCCTCAATAATTTACATTTGAAACTTTAGAAAGTAACCAAATTTGATGATAAATGATCATCATAAATTGATAGAAATGATAAGTTAATATTTTAAAAGTGGTTAGTACTCTAAGAAACCTGAAAGTTTTGACAGCTAATCAATATAGGATTGTCAAACAGTATAGTTCAGTATTCTTCTATCTGATTATTATAAAAATTTAATTTTTATTTTTTTGTTAGTTTGTAAAAATCAAAAAAATATTTTTGATTAAGAACATGAATTGATTGATGTTAGATCTGAAAGAACTGGACGGTCGTTTTGTTCTATTGTGAAACTTCACAGCAATGAATATCCATGATCTTGTCATGTGAAATTCAAATTCAGAACTTATTTGTCTTGTGCGTGAACTCTTAACCTCTAGACCATTGAACTAGTATTCAACAGTGTTAATGTCTAACGTCAACCAATCTACAAAATTGTACAATGATCTTCAATTGTACTGAAGTAGATATCTATCTCTACCCGACACCGATTAGCTCCACTGGTCATGGCTTCTCATTAGAATTCCTTCACAAGGTTAGTCATTAGTAAGCACGCAAAACTGAAGGCTCTGGGCTAGAATCCCGCTTACGGGACCGTAAATACTAACTAATGAGGAGTGTCACAATAAGATAAAACGGCCATCCGAGTTTTCAATGATGATCTAACATCAATCAGGTCATGATAAAAATTATTTCATAAAAATGCACCAAAAACAACAATGAAATTAGATTCACCTCGTTATGTAATACAGTATCTATGACATAATTATTGTTTATCAATATTCAATAATAATAAACTAGGATGAACTGAGTTTTCAGTATAAAGAATTTATATTAATTAATATATCATTCATGGAGGACAGATTACAGATGCATTCCAAATAAAGACCGGAGTCATACAAGACTGTCTACTCTCTCCTTTCCTTTTTTCTTCTGGTGGTTAACTGGGTTACGAAGACCTCGACATGTGAGGGAAAACACGGCACACAATGGATAGCTCAGAACCAATTAGACGAGCAAATGCAGATGAAGATAGACAGCGTAGTAGCAGTCTCTGCATCAGTAGGCCTCAACACACACAAGAGGAAAACCAAGCTCCTCAAATACAACACGGAGAACAGCAATCCAATCACTCTTGATGGCGAAACTATGGAAGATGTGGAATCATTCAAGTGCCTGTGAAGCATCATTGATAAACAAGGAGGATTAGATGCAGACTTAAAGGCGAAGATTGGTAAAGCAAGCGCTGTATTCTTACAATTGAAGAACATATGGAACTCAAAACAACTTTCTCTCAACCAATATCAAAGTCAGAATATTCAATTCGAACGTCAAGACTGTTCCACTGTACGGAGCTGAAACTTGGAAAACTGCTACAACCATCATCAAGAATGTGAAAGTATTTATGAATAGCTGTCTATGCAAGATACTCAACATCCATTGACCGGATACCATCAGCAACACCATCCTGTGGAAGAGAACAAACCAACTTCCATCTGAAGAGGAAATTAGGAAAAGATGATGGAGTTGGTGGATAGAATATACATTACGCAAATCATCAAACTGCTTTACGAGGCAAGCGCTAACTTAGAATCGTGAAGTGAAGTGGAAAAGAGGATGGCCAAACAACACATTACATCGGTAAATAGAATCAGATATGAAAAGGATGAATAAGAACTGGAAAGATCTGGTTAGGATTGCTGAGGACAGGGTTGGATGGAGAATGCTTGTGGGTGGCCTATGCTTGTCTACAAGGAATAACAGGCGTTAATAAGTAAGTAATACATCATACATATTATTCTTTATTCATTATTATTATTTTGTTTTATTTATTATTCATATTATAAGTATAGTATTATACAATTTAACCTTATTTATTGAACTTGGCTTCTTTATTTTGTTTATTGTTTTTATCCGTTAATCAATGTCATGAATTAATTAACTTTTAATAATAAAAATATAAATAAACAATAATGACAAAAAAAAAGTATAAGTTTACAATAAAAAAATTTTTTGTTTTTTTTTGTTTACTTCTT